GCTGTAGGAAGTTGCTACCTTAAATACATTCTTGAAATGTGACTTGATATAATAAATGGGTTATAAGAGCTGTCATTGTTTTGCCAAATTTGATGTTTGTGTTGATGTGGTTGTGATTGTTTATTAAATTGAACTAAATTTTGGTCTATGACATTACCTATCTAAATTTTAATATCTATAAGTTAATAACTTCAAATTATTATAGCATTAGTATACACCTAGGACGTCCATTTACCCTGGGGGTTGTTTTTCAATGTTGTTATTTCCTCATCCAAATCTTTCACAATCACTTGTATTCCTGCTGTTGGCAAAGGGTCAACAGAAAAAAACCCACTACTGAGCTTAAAAAACATTAACAGCGCAGCAGAAACTTGCCTAATATAGCAACTTTAATGTCAATAAAGAACCTAAAGTACTTCAAAGAAGATAAAAATGAACAGTGCCTTAAAAAAGTTACTGTGCCATATTAAAAGTGCACAAGATAGAAGCTTACAGTATTGGGGTAATATATTAGTATGAATTGAGAATTGGTTAACACACAGGCAATAGAGTCAAGATTAATGAGTGTTTTTTCAGGTTGGAAAGATGCAACATATGGAGTGCCACGAGGATCAGACCTGGGCCCTAATTATTTACTATCTACTTAAGTGAGAGGGCACATTGTTGTGAGGACATAAGGCATCTGCAACAGGTTACAGATAAGTTAAGAAAGTGGGCAAAAACTTGGCTGTTGGAATTTAATGTGGGAAAGTGAGGTCATGCAGTTTAGTAGGAGAAATGGAGAGAGATTCTTAAAGAAAAATGTGCAGCTCAGAAGGCTCTTGGTGTTCTTGTACATAATACACAGAAGGTTGTCATGCTGGTGCAGTGTGTAATTAGGAGGCAAGTTGAATTTTGGCCTTTATTGCTAGATGTTGGTGAGACTCCACCTGTGGTACTATGTAAAATTTTGGGCTCTGTATATAAGAAAGGAGGCAGTTCCAAAGATATTGACTAGGATGGTTTCCAGTCTGAAGGGAATAATTTATAAAGAACATCTAAACAGATTACACCTTTATTAGAGTGTTGAAGAATGAGACGGTGATCTGATTGAAACATGGGGCTTGACAAGGTGGATGTTGAGAAGATATTTCCACTAGGGGGTGTCATTCAAACTATGGGACATAGTTACAGAATAAAATGACACCCATTTAAAACTTGAGATGTGAAGAAATTTCTTCTCCCAGAGGTAGTAAGTATCTGGAATTCTCCAACCCAGAGAGTTGTATAGCCTAGATCACTGGTAGATTTTTGAAACATCGAGGAGTTGAGTGCTATGAGGAGCAGGGACAAAAGTGAATTGAGGTCTGAGGCAGATTGGAAATTATCTATTGAATGATTGGACAGGCTTGAGGGGTCAAATGGCTTACTGCTGCACCCCTTTCATATATTCTTTATATAGAAGCAGGTATCAATAGTGTGATCAAAAGGTTGATTAAAGAGATGACGTTGAATGAGAGATATAAAATAGGAGAGGCAAGAGACCAGGGTACATGGCCTTCAGTGGTGGCGTAATGCACAAAAGATTAGGGATCAAAATAGAGATCTGTTGGTGGGTTTAGAAGGCATAACTGAGGCTCTAGATAAGTACATGGACCGATGTTTACCAAAGAAGAGGACATTACCAAAGCTTTGGTAAATGGGGAGGTTGCTGGGATACTGGACAAGATAAAAGTAAATATACAGGAGGGACTAAAATTGCTGGCAGTACTTATAGTTGACAAGTCATCCTATCCACATTAAAATGCATTCTAAATTGCTGAGTGGTGCAAGGGTAGAAATTGCATAGGCTTTGACCGTCAGTTCTCCTTGGATATTTGGGTGGTACTAGACTAGAGGATTGGAGAATTACCAATGTTACATCCTTATTTAAAATAAGTTGAGCAAAAAGAAATTATAAGCCAGTTCATTGAGCGTCAGTGGTGGCAAAACTTTTAAAAGAATAATTTTAGAGAAAGTTAACAGCCACATGGACAAATATGTAGTAATTAAGGGGAACCTATATGGACCTGTTAAGGGCAAGTCATGTTTGACTAATTTGACTTATTGTGATAGGGTTAGGAAGAGAAATGGTTAGGAACATTACTGTTTATGGATTTTCTAAAAACGTATGATGAAGTACTACAAATGAGGCCTAACAAATTTGAATTCCAAGGATACAAGGGGTAATCTGAACATGTACAAAATGGGCAATTGCATAGAAAGGATGGTTCTGTTAAATGGCTGTGTTCCAGAATAGACTGGGACATAGTGAATTTTCTCATAGTTCAGTTTTGGGACCACCCCTACTTCTGATGTATACTAATGACTTGGATTTCCTGGGCACGTTTTCAAAATTTGCATTTGATCCAAAACTTTGGAATGCAGTAATGAAGTCTGTATAGATATTTTAACAGAATGAGCATGCAGACTACAGATTGCAGAAAAGTTTGAGGTGGTCTGTTGTAATAGGAGGAAAAAGGAGAGAGAGTACAATTTTTAATGTAAGAGGAGAGAGACCTGGGTTTGGTTCTGCATCAGCTTTTTTTAGTAGATGACAGGACAATTTAACAAAACTGTTAATAAGGCAAATGGGATCCTGGGCTTTGTTCAAAGCGACATAGAGAATGAAAGACAGGAAATTGTGCAAAACTATGTGAAACACTAGTTCGGTCTCGCGTAGTGTATTGTGTTCAAACCTGGGCTTCGCGTGTTAGGAAGGATGTGAAGTCTTTGAAATGGGCACAGAAAAATTTATTTGAATTGTTCCAATGAAAAGGGATTACAATGTGGTGAATAGACTGGAAAAGTTGGAGCTGTTTTTCTCAGTGCAGAGAAGTCTAAGAGGAGATTTGACAAGTATTTAAAATAAGGTTTAGAAACTGTAAAGGAAGAAGCTGGAAAAACTCAGCAGGTCTGGCAGCATCTGTGGAGAGAAACCAAAGTGAACATTTCCAGTGACCCTACTTCAGACTTCTGTTCATGTTTCAGATCTTCAGCATCTGCATTTCTTTGTTTTATTAAAGAAAGAAGCTGTTTCCAATTGCCGAAGAATTGATAACCAGAAAATGGAGATTTATATATTTTTAATCTATCTATTCAGGCATGTTGTGGCGCATCTCTGCAGCAGGTGGGATTTGAACCTGGGCCTTCTGACTCAGTGGCATGGACACTGCACTACAGGATGGAAATTTAAGGTGATAGACAAAAGATAGGCTGAACATAGAAAAGCAATTTTATTCAATGAGCATTTGGGGATCGGAAAGCACTGTCTAATATGCTGAGGAGTACCAATTCAGTAGCACCCTTCAATGGAATTGAATAAGTTATTGAGTAAGGAAAGAAAGAATTGAAGAAAGAGAAGGGAGTGTGCATAACTAGATTGCTGTTACGCACAGGATAGCGTCCTCTTGTGTTGTGCTGTTCTATGATTCTAGAAGCTCAGATCAGTGAAATGAATAGTTGGTACAGGTTGGGGAGTGGTGGGAGAGAGTGAAGGGAAGGAGTACCTTTGGAGTGATTTAAATGCAAGTTTGAGAATTTTAAAATTGAGGCTTTATGGGGGATGTGTGCCATCATAGATTAGTGAGGGCAAGGGTGATGTCTGGGCACGACTTTGCATGTGATGGGATATAGACTGCAGATTTTTCAATGTGCTGAAATTTGGAGTAGAGAATAAGTGGATGGCCTGGAGAACATTTGAGCTGAACAACATCCTTTTGAGAAATGTTTGTGACTGTTGAAAGCTGTTGAAGATCATATTGCTTACACATATCTTCGAGGCCCACATTTTGTGTTGTAAATTGTTAGAAAGGTGCCCAGAATTGTTAAATTGCAGACGGAAGCAATTAATCACGCCTCATAAGATGTGTTTCGGTGAATGGCTAGGAAAGAATGATATTCTTTAAAAGAATTTCAATTCATGATGAAAAGATATGATTTCCGTACTTTATTTATTGTGATACTAAAACCTTGATTTTTTTTTTGCCAGTGCTTTTATGCTTTTGAATAATAAGCAGTCCAGTGTGATTCATTGTGTAAAAACTTTATCCCATACTAAAAATTATCAGTCATTCATACTAACGTTTGTGAGCTATAGATCAATGTTTGGTATGTTATTCTGACCTTTTGTGGGCCGCAATTACTAATTTTTCTGTTCCAATTCGTAATTAGGAAATAATGCTGTTGTGTCATTTAATGATGTGTAAGATTGAGAATTTGTTGTAATTTGAGTGTATCAGTTCCATACTCATGGATGTTAAACTGGGAGAAGGGACTGTAGAGATGTACTGTTGAACAATTTTAAAATTCATTTATCCAATTATTCACTTTGTAAGTGTGAACCAAATATAGTTGATCAAAAGATACCTGATCACTCTGTTACCCACCACCAAAATCATTTCTAATGCTCACCTCTGATCATTTAATTTATCACCGTGATCCACAGCCATGTGTGAACCATGGCCTGCCCCTGGGAAAATTAGGTATGACCCAAGGGCAGGATTTAGGATTTTGGAGTCTTCAGTTATTTCTGCCATTTCAGAGAGGGTCTTCATTGAAAATCTGGGCCCAGGTGTTGCATTTTCATCCTCAAGGATGGGAAGATGACATGGGAAGGGTAATGTGTGTTAAGGGTAGTTGAGTGGATAGTGTGTTAAGGAAAGAACCGCCCCTCGGAATGCATTATACTAGCTTTTTGTGGTTGTGTTTGAATGCAATTGCTTGATATAATGGGTGTTAATTCTCGTGCATCTTTTAGGAGTGTATTCTACTAACAGTTTAAGTGCTGTTTAAGTACTTACATTCACTACAATGATACGTTACAAATTAATGTGGAATTGAGTTTGCATTACATGTAAGGGCAATGGGAATTTTGAGGTAAACTGGACAAGCATCATGTTTTATATGCGGATACATGTTATTAAATTGCTACCACAGGCATCTCTTGCATTATTTTAATTGGTGGATTCTTCAAATATTAGGTTATATTCAGGAGGAGAAGATTGAAATTGCTCACAGACACTTGATCCCTAAACAGTTAGAACTGCACGGGCTAACACCCCAACAGATCCAAATTCCAAAAGAGGCAACTGAAGATATCATCAGCAGGTCAGTGTGTTTTATTGCAAAAATCGTCTTTCCAACACATTTTGTTATTTATGGTATGATTTAACTTATTCAATTTCAGGACTGGATTGCTTAATAGCCACCTAAGACTAGAGCAAGGGAGGGAGCTGCATATTACTTCTTGACTTAAATTTATTTCTTGAGCGATTATTAAAGAAGTTGAGAGAGTAGTTAGAGATGTTGCTTAACTCGCCATCATTGTGATTGATAAGTATAAGAGCAAAATCAGTTTTTGTTTTGTGTAATTGATGAATGTGTATTGAAGCAAGTTATGGTGTCAAAAAGTAAACAATATGAATGGAATTTTGAAAAGCCTATGGAAAATATTTGAGATATTGTATAGAAATAGACTATGATGTTAGTAGTCAGGTAACTCAGTTTGCAGAATTTATTTTACTTACAATTATGCCAGGAAATAATAGAGAATTAATTGAAACATATCAAATACTTCAAATATTGGTAAAATGAGATGTAAAAGAAATGCAATATAGCAAAGATAGTAGGAACTGCAGATGCTGGGGAATCTGAGACAACAAGGTGCAGAGCGGGATGAACACAGCAGGCCAAGCAGCAGCAGAGGAGCAGGAAGGCTGATGTTTCGGGCCTAGACCCTTCTT